GCAAAGAAAGGACCCAAATTAACAAAATCAGAAATGCAAAGGGAAAAATTACAATAGACATTGAGGAAATTCAGAGACTACTTTAAAAAATATATATTCCACTAATCTGAAAAATATAAAATAAATGAATGAATTTCTAGATATATATACCCTATCAAAGTTAAGTCAAGATGATAAAAAAATTTTTTGGTCTTTTTTGAGACAGGGTTTTTCTGTAGCCCATGCTGGTCTGGAACTCTATGTAGACTAGGCTGGCCTCAAACTCACAGAGATCCACTTGCCTCTGCCTCTCAAGTGCTGGGACTAAAGGCATGTGCCACAACACACAGCTAAGATGAATAAAATTTAAGCAGGTACATAACAATCAATGAGATGGAAGCAATAAGTTAAAATAGCCAAATAAAAAAAAGCTGCAGACCAGATAGAACTATAGCAGGCCTTCAAAGACGAATTAACACCAATGCTCCTCCAAGTTATTCCATGAAATACAAAAGGAACACTTCCAAATTCTTTTTACAAAACCAGTATTACTCTGATACCAAAACCAAAGACCAAAAATTGACAACTGGGACCTCATTAAACCAAGAAGCTTCTGTACAGCAAAGGACACCATCATTCAAATGAGAGGTAGTCTACAGACTGGGAAAAATTTCTTTACCAGCTATACATCTGACAGAGGGTTAATATCCAGAATATTCAAATAACTTATAAAACTAACTAAATAATAAACACACACACACATCCCACCACCACCACCACCACCATTACCAACAACAACAACCTGATTAAAATTAGGGCAATAGAGTAACCAGAGTTCTCAAAAGATAAACACAAATGGCTGAAAAACATTTCAAAACATCTTCAGATGTCACGGTGCAGTGACTCCAAGCTTGAAAGGGCTTGGGGACCCCGACGGATAGAAATCAGGACGCAGGAGATGCAGAGGCTTGTGTACCAGTGCATGTTTATTGTGAACTAAAGCAAGCTTATATAGGAATCAGATCTGGAGTAACCAAGGAGTAACTAAGTATACATCACTAAACAGAAAGTAACCAAGGAATAACCAAGGATACATTATGTTACTACCAAGAATACATTATTTCACCAACCGAAACTCACACAATGTTTACAGTATCCAAGATTCAGCTACATAATATTTATAATATCTTAGCTATAAGATGTACTGTTTCTGATTACTCTTAGTGAAACTATAATTCATTATTTCTATATAGAAACGAAGCTAACAGTGCTGACAAACTCCAGTGCCCATAAACTGAAACAGAACTCTTTAGTTATGTTTCCAAGACTGCCAATTAATTAGGGAAGCACAGCCTGTCAACTCGGACCACAGAAGCAGAGAGCAGGGACACTCCCAGGGTGGAAGCATTCTTTCTCCAATGCTTAAGTCAAGGCAAGCTGCCACAGCCTAATGCAGCAACGGCTGTGCCCATAATAATAGCTCCCAACATTCAGATTATTAGCTATCATGGAAATGCAAATTAAAACTGTTTTGAGATTGCATCCTAACCCAGTTATAATGGTTAGGAGCAAAAAAGAAATGATAAATGCTGGAAGGATGTAGGGAAAGGGGAATGTTTATTCAATATTTGTGGGAGTGAAAACTGGTGTAGCCACTCTGGAAATTAGTGTGGAGGTTTCTAAAAAATCTAGAAATAGATCTACCACATGATTCAGCTGTACAACTCTAGGGCAGATACATAAAGGACTCTATGTTTTACTACAAAGACACCTGTTCATTCATGTTCACTGCTGTTCTATTCACATTAGCCAGGAAATGGAAACAACCTAGATGTCCATCAGCTGATGAATGGATAATGAAAATATGGAAATATTGCATATTTACAAAATGAAATATTAATCAGCTCTTAAGAAAAACAAGATGAGGGGGCTGGAGAGATGGCTCAGGGGTTAAGAGCACTGACTGCTCTTGCAGAGGACCCAGGTTTGATTTTTAGCACCGACATGGCCATCTGTAACTCTAGTTCCAGGGGATCTGACGCCCTCTTCTAACCTCTTCAGGGGGCAGTGCACGACATGGGTGTACTTACACACATGCAGGCAATACACTAATATACGTAAAATAATAATTAACAAAATATTTTTAAAGAGAAAAGCCAAATACTAAGATTTGCAGTTATATGGATACAACTGGAAATAATCATCCTTAGTGGGGTAATGGAGACTAAGAAAGATAAATGTTGCATGTGTTCTGTCATATGTCCATGCTACATATGAATCTTTATATGAGTTTCAACTGTAAAATCCATAAAAGGTTCAAGAACTAGAAAAGGTTCATGGGGGTGGGGGCTTCATGGAAGTGGAGGTAGAACTCAGTGATACAAGAGGAAAGAGGAATAATGGAACAGGAAGGATTAAATGGAGGAAGGAATTGGAGGGCAGGGCAGAGAAGGGAGTATAGGGAGGGATAACTAACGCTAAAGTACTTTTGGGGGTTTTAAAAATATTTTATTTATTATTTTTATGTGTATGAGTATATTGCCTGCATGTGTATAAGGGTACCCATGTCGTGCAGGGTGTCAGATCCCCTGGAACTGGAGTTAGGACAGTTGTTAGCTGCCATGTGGGTGCTGGGAATTGAACTCAGGTCCTCTGCAAGAGTAGTCAGTGCTCTTAACCACTGAGCCATCTTTACATCCCACTAAAGTACTTTTGAAAAAGTCATACTGTAAACTGTTACTGTAGAAGCTTCTTAAAGTATATACATTCATAATATGCCAGGTATGGTGGTGCATGCCTTTAATCCTAGCACTTGGGAGCAGAGGCAGGTGGATCTCTATGAGTTCAAGGCCAACCAGGTCAACATAGTGAGTTTCAGGCCAGCTGGGTGACGGGGAGACTCTGTCTCAAAAAGACAAAAAAGAAAAATACATACATTTATACATATAAAAAGAATTTAAACTGTGTTACCCTATAATGGGGGGGGTGGATAACCAGATCCCACAGGCTAGCAGTTGCCAGGAAGGGGTTTCTTTTTTTGAAGTTACTGACCAATGGGGTCCCATAGACCCTCAAATAATACTGGCTATTTCCACTGCTCCCTGCTGTAACTTGACAGGGAGACCCTGTAGCTGAAGATACTACATACATGAGTCACAGAACATGGAGAAATCAAGCTGGTACTGACATCAAAGCTTCATCTCTAAGGGCTGGCTTTCATAGTTCTGGAAAGTGCTATTTATGCTATTGACAGGAATAAGTATTCAGTATTAAACTGACACCTAATAACTTGTTATACCCACACATTAGTGCATCGCTCCGCTCTCATCAGAGAAGCTTCTTCTTGCAGCAGATTGTGATTAACAGTGACCAACAACTGGTCAATGTGCAGAGAATAAGAGACTACAGAGTTCTCAGTCCTAAACAGGACACCTTATCATGCTCTTTCTTCCCAAGGATCAGGGATCATTGCAGAAGAGGGGCAGAAAGATTTCATGATGACATCTTCACACATGTACATCAAGCACTTTGCTGATAATAACTTCTAGTCCCTGCCCTTATTTCTCCCCCTCCCATAGCTGCCCCCTTTCCCCTTTAATAGTCTCCTTTTTACTTATAAGTAAATATTTATTATTTTTTTTAATTTCAACTGTATATGGGAGTCTGTGGGTTTTCATGGGAGCATGGATGTGAAGCCATTCTTGTGACATTCAGATTTTGCTCCATTCAGATTCTTACCAGTGATGGTGATTGCTGGATCACATGGTAGTTCTGTGACCAACCTGCAAACTGCTTTCTAAATGGTTATAGTAAGGTTACACATTTAGAAAGGAGACCTGGCCAGGGGGTGGTGGCACAGGCCTTTAATCCTAGCGCTTGGGGAACAGAGACAGGAGGATCTCTGTGGGTTTGAGGCCAGCTGGGGCTTCAGAAAACCCTATCTCAAAAGAAAAAAAAAGAAAAAGAAAAGAAAAGAAAAAGAGACCTTGAGTTCCCATATGTCATTCCCATGTCCTCTCTGACACTTGTAATCTGCCATTGTTTTGCGTGGCCAATCTCACAGCTTTGCTGAGACTTGGAGGAGGTCTGCTACTTGCTGCATTCAGTCCATATCTATCTGCCTACCTATAAACATATATATAGTTTTAAAATGTTTTTGAGCTCCTAGCCTGCACTACTATCCTCAGACCTCTTGGGGTGCCTTCAGGAAATAGGTCCATTCTGAATATATCACATAAATAAACTGCAGTGGGGAAAGGCCTCTTCGTTTGAAAATGCCATATTCACAACAGCTGAAAGGAAGGTTCATTGAGTAACATTATCTCACATTTCTACAGGAGCAGTATAAGTGCTTTTCCCCTAAGCACTTAACATAACAAAATTGCCTCACTCGTCATGGCAAAGCAGCCACCTTTGGAGAGGTACACGAAGCTGTTTTTCAGGATGGAGTAACACTTCAGATGGAAGAGGAAATAAGAAGAATTCTGCATCGAGTGGCAATGGCAGGGGAATTTAAGCAGCCAGAATAAAATTACTTACTTGGAACTGGGTCAGAACCCTGAAACTAACTGTACAGATGCTAGACTATTCTGAGAGAGACTACTGGTTATTTGTTAAATAAACCCATTCTGGTGCCTAAAAAAAAAAAAAATGTTTTTGAAAGATTTCATTTCTTACATTCAGAATTTTACACAATTGGGTAAATAGTGCAGGTGATAAACAACAGGCAGCTACTGACAGCAGCATGGGACCTTGAACACACTGATCTTAGACAAAGGTAGTTCTGGCTTTGCATTCTCTGACAGCCAATAGGCCCCCTGCTGGGAAGAGCAAACTGCAGATAAAGAAAATGCAGATTGCAGTTGATTCCTGAAGCCTCTATTTTACATTGTAACGGTAAAAGTCCTTTGAAAGAAAAGACAGGACATTTCGTTTCCCACCATAGCCTGCCTTAGTACAAGACTAAATGTCAACGGTTAAAAGGAACTGTTTTCTCTCCTGGGAAGCTCTGCTTAACATACCTATGAGCTCTATAGGCCAGGACCCACCATTCCAGCTTCTTTTGCTCTCGGGTTGGTGCAGGAACTGTCACTCAGGGTGGAGTTGCAGCACTGTCCAATCGGAGGCACTGTTGTGACGGACACAGCGACAGCGAGCAGAGGGTGGGACTTCCGTTCTGCAGCCGCTGCTGTCGCCATCGTGGTATCTGTGTCTGGAGTTTCTGGATCCTGTGTCTGTACCTCCGTCGCTCTGTGACCGGCTACAGCCGGAGCCCCACTGCGCGGCGCTGCCCGTCTGGAATCCCGACATGGTGAGCGCGGCGTCGGGAGCGCGGAGGGAAGCTGTGCACCCCGAGCTGGCGGCCGCGGCTCCCCATCGTCCCTGCAGAATCCCCCGGCTCCCCGGGCTGTGGCGGGGCTGGGACGGCTCTGGGCAGCCCGGGTATCCTGTCTGTCCCTGCACCCGGGCTTGAGCCGGGTGCAGCCCTGTGTGCAGCTCTGCCCTGGAGCTTGTGGCGGCGTGCTGAGCGGGAGGAGGGTAGGGCCGAGCTGGGGACGGCCGACTGCGCAGCCGCCACGCCCCACACGAGTCCTGGGGCCGGTGCTGGGTGCTGCGCAGTGGGGTGAGCCGGGTGTAGGGTGCTGCTCGGTGGGGTGTGCCGGGAGCGGGATGGGAGCGCAGTGGGGTGTACCGGGCGCGGATTGGAGAACAGTGGGGTGTACCCGGCCTGGGATGGGATGCAGTGGGGTGTGCCCGGCGCCGGGTCGGGGCGTAGTGGAGTATACCAGGTGCAGGATGCGGCGCTGTGGGGTGTGCCGGGCAGACGAGTCAGGGCCACGGTTGGGGCACAAGTCGTGGTCCCACGCGCCTTCCCGGCTGCCCACCTACCTCCCTGATCTTCTGCAGGGTTTTCCTGGATCTGCTGCCACACAATCCTACACGCCCTCCTCAGCCCCCTCCAGCGTGTGCCTCTGGTTTGTGTCTCTGGCTGTCTTTGTCAAAATCTTATGATGGTTCTTTGAAATTCTGTGGCTGTCTGACTGTGGGAATCCAGGTCTGGGGGCTGTACCTCCCGCCCCGCCCCTTTTTTTCCTTCTCTGTCAGTAGCTCGTCTTTCCCTAGTGTTTGATGAGTTTCCCTATTTCCTTAAAGCCCTGGAGTACTTGAGTGACCTGGCAATTGCCCTCTCTAAGCCATTTTCTTTTTCTGTCATTAAGAATGAACCTAAGGATGGGTACATGCAAGGCAGGCGCTCTGCCATGAGCCAAGCCAAGTACTTGGACGTTTTTTAAAAAAATGTTTATTACATATATTAATGGTACATAATAGTAAATTCTGTTATTGACGTCTTCTATGTGTGTGTAATGTATTTATGTCATATTCACCCCATTACCCTCTTGACCCCTTCCCGCTCCCACTGATCCCTTTCATCTTCACAAGTCCCTCTTGCTTTCAAGATTTATTTTTCTGGCCCAGGACTTTTAGATGTGCATGGGAGAGGAGTTGATTATAGGATCATGGGCCCCAAACCAGGGACTGCACCCCTGAACAATCTCTCCTGCATCAATCATTAACTGCTTATAAATCATCAAGGAGGGTTGGCACCTGGTGAGTCCTTCACCACCCCTCTGTTTTGAGGCTTAGTGTAACTCCAGCCCAGGCTAGCCTTGAACTTGCCTTTCTCCTCCCTGTGTCCTTTATGGAAGTGAACAGAAAAGTCTGGGCAGGTGCAGGTGTTTGACAGGAACCCAGGTACCAGCTTCTCTTTTTCCTCCCCTGCTCCACCTCTGAGTCTGCCGGTGCCTCATGGGTCTGGGCATGGGGAGAAGCTCTGATTGTGTCCTTTCCTGAGAAATCCCAGCACCCAGCCCAAGACCAGGGCTCTGGGGGCCATGTGACTCCCTCCACTGCTCTGTTCTGACTCGTAATACAGGGAGGGGAAGAAGCTCAGTGATTGGAAACGTGGCTCAGTTGCTTAGGAGCAGGAGAACTGAGCAGTGGTAGGTTCCAAGTGTCCCTCCTTAGGACTTATCCTCAAAGCACCAGGCAGTCCCAGTTTCCCTTGGAGTGAGTACTGGGTCACAGAGAGTGGAGGAGGAGGAGGATTGGGAGACCTGGAGTTCAGGAAATGGGGACTGCTTACCAAACCTGAGCTATGACATATGTGAGTCCCTATGTCTCTACAGTTCTGCCCCTCCATCTCTTGCCTCCTTTCTACCCTGCTTGTGTGTTCCTTTTGATGTTTGTATTTGATTGTTCAGATAGGGTCTCACTCTGTAGTCTAGACTGAACATAAGACATGTCAGTCCTCCTGCCTTAGCCTCCTGATCATTGGGCATTTATAGCCGTGAGCCACTGTACCCACCTCCCTGTGCCTTTTTGTCGCCCCCTCTCTTTATCTCCCTCTTTGTCCCTTGGGTGGGTCTCTAAGTCACTGAAACTGTGCTTAGAGCCCTGCTCTGGAAGGTACTTTGGCTGGTTTGACCCCTATCCAGGTGGGTGGTTTACTAGGGAATGTAGGATGCTAGAAGAGCTGTACACAAAGGTTTCACCCCTCTCTCCACCTTCTTTCCCTCTCTAAATGTCTCCTTCAGTGCTCTTTTAATGGGAAAGAGGGGAGGGAGGTATAGACCTGGGTTTAAATCTCACCTGCAAGCCAGGCATATAATCCCAGTTACTGAAGACCCTGAGGAAAGAAACTGTACCGCTAGCCTGAGAAGTACAAAACGTGCTGCAGGTGAGCCTGGGCAACTTGGTGAAACTGTGTCTCAAAAGAAGAGAAAAAGAAGTGGGTCCAGTTCAGTGGTAGAGCAGTTGTCTGACATGTGCTCTGGGTTCCATTCCCCATCACCATCTGTCTTTGGGACTCAGAGCAGTCAATCACTGTCTTGTGATTCAGTTCTACAGAATAGTGACGCCACCCCTTATCTGCCAGTGTGGTGCAGCCATAGCAAAACAAGTAAGGAAGTTAGTGCCCATGAGCCTTCCCTTGAGGAACCCTGGACCCAGAAAGGGGCTATGTGAAGCTGTGCCCACTGCAAAGAAAGGAAAGCTAAGGCCAGAGGTGGGGCTTAGTGGTAAGGGGTAACTCTCCCACTGCCATACTTTCTAGGGCAGGGGAGCACTCACTTGGCCCTCCCAGGACAGGAGAATTCTACATCAGGTTTAGAAGGGCTCCAGATGGGAGGGAGACAGTGCTGATATTCTCTGGTCTCTGAGGATAGATGAAGATAGATGATGGGTTAAAGGGTCCCAGGGAAGAGGACTTGAGAGGAAGGCAATCTGATAAAGGAAGTGAGGGCCTGAGGGAGGAGGAGACTCTTTGTGAGAGGAAATCCCTGAGAAATGCTCAGGTCCAGCTTTGGCAGTGTGGAGCTGTCCATGTCCCAAAGCTGGGACAGGAGGAGCAGCTGTAGAGGCCCCACTTGGGGGAGGTGAGGTAGCAGTGTCTGGGGACCCGTCAGGGACCAAAGAGTGGGAAGAAAAAGGAAGCCAGAGATCAACCTGCTCTAGCTGTCTGATTTTCCAGATTGTTCTGCTGCTCAGGAAAGCCCCAGCTTCCAGAGCAGCCTTACCTCCAGTCTCAGGATGGAGGGTGTGGAATCAGGATGGCCTAACCTCTGCTGCCTCACTTCTTTCCTATGGTTCACCTGCTTTCCCAGAGCTTTCCAACTGTGTGAGAAACAAGGACTGAAGTCTAGAACCCTGACCAATATCCTCTGTGTCTCTCAGCAAATTCCTAAAATGTCACTGCCCTGTAAACATTCACAAATATCTCTACCCCTTTTTTTAAAAAAAATTATGTACTTATTTTGTGTGTGTGTGTGTACACGGTTTGAATATGTCAGTTTATGTGTGCCATACGCATACATGCACCCAAGGAGGTAGAAGAGGTCACCAGTGCCCTTGGAACTGGAGTTGCAGGTGGTTTTGAGCTACCATGTAGGTGCTGGAAACAGCCCTGGTCCTCTGCAAGAGCAGTAACTGCTGTTAACACAGGCCATCTCCCCAGCCCCATCAGCATCTCTTTTTCCACTGTACAATCAACTCTTTGCTCCTCATGGTATATTCTGTGTTTCAAACAGACATACTTGGTCACTTTTTAAGAACTAAATTCTGTTTATGAGCATATCATGAGAAGAAAGCTGAGAAGATTCACTTGAGCCCTTGTGAGCAATCTTTGTGCCTCTCCTGTCATCCCTAGAGACTGATACCTTATATGATGCCTTATTGTTGAACTTGTATTCCAGCATCTCTTCCTGGCCTCAGGTGTCAGAATTGCCTGACAGAGCTGCTCAGAACAGCCATGTCTGTGGGCTCTTGGAGTGTCTAGTGAATACTTGTCCTTGGGTACCCTTTACTAGACAGCAGCCTCAGGTGGGCATTCTGTGAGCTATTCAATGCCCTGTATTTGAGAGGGATATCCTGCTATCCCTGCATCTAAGAGACACTTCACTATTTCTGTGTCTTGTCTGTGACTATAATTTCACAGGAACATGGATGTGAAGCCATTCCTTTTTAACATTTAGATTTCTGCTCCTTTGGATTCTTACCAGGGATGGTGATTGTTGGATCACATGGTAGTTCTGTGTTGAAATTTTTGAAGAACCAGCATAGTTTCTAAAATGGCCTTAGCAATGTTACACATCAAGAAAGGAGCACTAGGGGCTGGAGAGATGCTCAGTGGTTAAGAGCACTGGCTGCTCTTGCAGAGGACCTGGGTTTGATTCCCAGCACCCACATGGCGGCTAACAGCCATCTATAACTCCAGTTCAAAGGGACGTCTTCTGGCCTCCATGGGCATTGCATGACACGGGAGCACTTACACACATGCAGGCAATACACTCTCATACACATAAAACAAAAGTAGTAATAATAAAAAAAATTTTTTTGAAGAAAGGAGCATTAAAGCTGGGTGTGGTTGCCCAGCACTTGAGAGGTATGTGAATCTTCTTGAATTTGAAACCAGCCTGGTCTACATAGGGAGTTCCAGCCTAACCAGTACTACACAGTGAGACTCTGGCTCAAATAAACAAAAGCAAACAAAAACAGAAAGGAGCACTTGAGCTCTCTTTTTGCCAGACCCATGTCCTCTCTGACACTTATATTCTGTCACTGTTTTGACTTGGCCGAGGTCACAGTTTAGCTGAGACTGCCGGAGGTCTGCTGTTTGCTACATTTGATTCCTGTTCCAGATTTGTTAGACTACAGGCTGTGAAACAGCCGCTAGAAGGCAGTGCACTCTTTTCTCGGTACAGGCAGGAATCTGTTTTGTTATCCTCTGCAGTACTTCTGGGTTAGACCATGGAAGTGTTGGATGCCTGCTGAAAACCATTTCTTCTTCTAGACCTGCAACAGATTTACATGTGTCCCGTCCCTTTGTTCCCAGAGCTTGAGAGTTTAGCATTTATTCTCACAAATAGACTTAAGGTGAGCCCATGTACTCAGTGAATGTGCAGAGTCCTTCCAGGAGGAAGCGATGGCAGGTATGATCAGTGCAGTGGGCTCAGGAAGAGCTAAGCTCTCAGCCAGGACACCAGAGGGAGCTGGTGGTTCTTCTGTTGCCCTTGAGTGGCAAGTAAACTGAACTGTCAGCAGTAATAGCAGTTAGCAAACCATAGTGAAAACTCTGTCTAGGGAAAATGTCACGTTTGAGTTTTAAACTATTTTTCTCTGATCCCAAGGGATGAAGCCAGTGGAAATATTTGCATTAGCTTATGAAACCGTGGTTTGTTCTGGCCTCTAGATGGACCTATTTGAATCCACACATTCCTAAGGCTGGGCTTAGGATGTCATGTGTATTGGTCCTATCTTCCTACTCTCCAGTTATGTCAAAAGCTTAGACTCATTTTCCATTTATGTAGCACTCAATCCAAGTAGAGTTTTGGCTGAGGTGGGCCTCAGCATTTCTAAGCCATTTATGTGATGGCTTTCTCAATTGCCCACTGTGCTTTTGAGAGAGAACTGAGATGTGCAGTGTTCATTAAACTTGCCCATAGATGGAGGGAGACAGAGTCTGGGTCTGCTCTCAGACTTTAGAAAAGTTTTGTATTTGTGATCACTTTTTACCCGAGAAATTTATGCAAATCAGATATATAGGTACATAAAATAAGGTTGTAAATCAAAGATTTGTGTTAAATAAATCATTAAAAAATTCATTTAAAAATAATTCTGTGTGAATTTTTACCAATAGTAAAAGATGAAATAAACCTTGCATACAAGGGGGCTTGGAGACATGGCTCAGTGGCTAAGATCACTGGCTGCTCTTGCAGAGGACCTGGGTTTGTCTCTCAGCACCCACATGGCAGGTAACAACTGTCCATAGATCCAGTTCCAGGGAATTTGATGCCTTCTTCTGACCTCCACAAGCATTGCATGACACAGGTACACTTACAGTCATGCAGGCAATATGTTCGTACACATAAACTAAAAATAATAAATAAAATATTTAAAAAACTTTGCATAGAAGTAAAATCCATGTATCTGTTTATGTAACATAAAAGTCAAGATGCTGATTTAATACTTAAATTTTGCAGAATGAAGGTAAGAACATAGTAAAAGTCTTTGATTTGCATAATCATGTTTCAATAAAAACAGAAAAGCATATACAGCAAGAACAGTGAGGTGTAAACATGCATTCATGCAACATGTCTTAGACAGTGCTCCCTGGAATCGCATGCATTCTGGCACATGCAGTGAAAAGTGCATGTGTTCACAGCAAAATCTGTAGTGCTGTCACCTGATGCACAGGGCTGGGTGCTGCTCAAACCTTGCATGAATCACTGATTTCTTCCTGAAGTAAATTTTAGTGTTTGAGCATATAGGAATCTTTTCTGTTACAAAATATTTTTATAACCCCTGTATTCAAGTATGAGACCCCTATCTGGGGTCATCCTCCACATTTAGGAATAAGGTCTATTCTACTATGTGGACTGAGACTGGAACTCATGGCCTTGCATCTTTGGGATCTGCACTGTAGTACAGTGCTCTGTTACAACCCCAACCAACATCTGTCCTTTCATTGTGTTCTTAGGGACTTAATCTTACTTTTATATGATTGAGTTTGCAGGTGCCTTTCCCTCTTAATAAAGCAAACCTTACATATATTTATCTGCAAATGTTGTTTCTATTGTAATTCCTTAGAGAACACTTTACTCGCATTCTCTTGCATCCCTGTTCTAACACAGAGGGAAGATTTTTGCATTGGTTTTTATTTGTCCCATGATGCAGAACACAGCCAGGTTCCAGCTTCTCTATGACACTGCTAAGACACACACATCTAGAAAGGTGAACTCTGACTGTTCCCAGTGCTGAGGGCTTGGGTTGATGAAAACTGTGTTGTTGCAGGGGCTGGTGTCATTTGAGGATGTAGCTGTGGACTTCACCTGGCAGGAGTGGCAGGAGCTGGATGCTGCTCAGAGGACCCTCTACAGGGATGTGATGCTGGAGACCTACAGCAGCCTGGTGTTTTTGGGTGAGTCAGACACCCTGTAACTCTCAGTAGCACTTACATCCTTCCTGGTTGATATCTATAGGCGTCATTGCTAGCTTTTAGTACTAAATTGATAGACATTTTAGCTGACGCATGCTAAGGTCATATATGAATGAAGAGCAGTGTGGCTTTGCTTTACATTCAGATAATGTGTACTCATCAGATGACACCAGTTGACATGACTGTCATCTTGGACATGACTTGTTTTTGTTGGGAACATGAAAATTCTTTTTGATAGCTATTTTGAAATATTTGTCAACCATATTTTTATTACTGTACTATTGAGTGTAAGTATTGTGTCCCTTCCAAAAGTACCAACTAAATACCAACCATCCCTCCATGCTTTGTACCTTTTCTGCACTCTGGTAACCCCAGTTTTCTCTACTTCTTTGGGGTCACCTTAAATTTGCAAATATAATGCAATTGTGCAGGGTTTTGCTCTTTGTGACTAACATGTTTTATCTTGTTTCTTTCCTGTACAAAAGAAATCATCTTTTCACCCCAGTTGTGGAGGAAATCAAATGCAAAAAGAACAATTCCATGTATTCAAGCTTGAGGCCTCAAAGTGTATTTGGGGTATTTGACACTCTTAGCTAGACCACTGAAAACCCAAATCCTACTCAGCTCAGCAGAAGGGGTCTGCATTGGTATCTCTGTTGAGGGGTTCATGACAGTCTTCTGTGGGATTGTTAATGACCCGCTGCCATTATCATAGACCTAAGAGCTTGCTGTATCTGTTTATTTCACTGCCATGTATGTGCCAAGTTTTCCTCCAGGTCATCAGAGCTGCTCTGCTTTAATGTAGTGATGGTCATTTCTAGCTCAGCAGAAAGTCATGTTCCCACCTTGCAAAAAGCTCTCCATTTCTGTCTTTGTCAATGCAGGTGGGACCTTTTTCATTTTTTTAATGGATGAATAATATTCAGCCACACTATTTTAAATGATTTGTATTTTTTATTGTCTGACAGTTCCATACATCCTTATAATAAATTTTAGTCATGGCCCATGTTGTTAGGTATTCCTGCACTGATAAATGCCTACATTGATTTGTGTCTTGGCTTTTATATACAGAGCTACAGTGCACAGAACACTGCAGATTTCTTTGCACAATAGTGGTTCCACTTATTTGGATATACATAAGTAGCAGTGGTGTCATTTAGTAGTTCCATGTTTACATTTTGTTGGTTTTTTGTTTGAGACAGCATTTCACATTGCCCAGGCTGGCCTCAAACTTCCCAAATAGTCAAGGCTTGCCTTGAACTGCAGATCATCCTGCTGAGTACTGAGGATGCAGGTGTGTGTTCCACATCTGGTTGAATATCTAAGTTTTGGAGGAAGCTTTGCACTGTATTTCATAGCAGCTGTGAGCATTTATATTCCTACCACCAGCTTATGAGAATTTTCAGTGTTTGTTGTTCGGTGTCATAGCTAAGAACCATTCTGAGCTCTGTGCAGTGATCTATCTTTGTGGTTTTGAATGGCCTTTCTCCGACGTTGAGGAGTGGCCTTTCTCTGATGCTGAGTGGTCTTTATGAGACAGGGTCTCCCTTAGCCCCAGCTGGCCTGGAATCTGTTATGTAGACCAGGCTGGCTTCAAACTCACAGAGATCTGCCTGCCTCTGCCTCCCAAGTGCTAGGATTAAGGGATGTTCCACCATGCCTGGCAACTATAAACTATAAAAAATATAAACTATATTTAAGAGCTGTTTTTGTGTAATGTTTGTGAAATAGCTGTTGAGGTAATATAACCAAAAATTTTGCTTTTGTGTTATGTATTGAGGTTCTTAATATTCAGAAATTAATCCCTCGATGTGTAAAATGTAATATTTTTCATTCTCTAGGTTGCTTGCTCCCGTTTCTGTCTGATGATGGTTTTGAGTTTCTTGTACTCCAGTTGCTGAGTTTTGCTCTGTGTGTTTGGCAGACATCAGGGTACCCTTTCTTGCCCTCATTCCCATCAAGAGTTCACTCAGTATCCCAAAAGCCTCATACCAGCAGGTCTTAATTTAAACCTTTCATCTATTATCAGTGTTTCTCTTTCCCCTATAAGCATTTTCAGTGCAGTTTCCCAGACTGGCCTTGAATTCACTCTGTAGATGAGAATGGTTTTGACCTGATTCTCTGAGCTGTACCTCCTGAGTGCTGGGATTGATTAGAAGTGTGCAGCACACTCAGGTCTTCATCTGTCTGAATGATTTACTTCTCTTCTAAATATAAAGTCTTGAAGAAGTCTGACCTGAAAATCAGTTGACTGACAACATTAGTTAGCTTTCCAGGTCTCTGGCAAAACTCCCGAGAGAAACATCTGAAAAGGAGAAAGATGTGTGCTGGATTGGCTTTCAAAGGGTCCATCCATGGTCCTTGGCCTCATTTCAGTCCTGTGGTGAGGAAGGACACCATGGCAGCAAGCACTGGAAGAATGTGCTCCTCCCCTCCCTGTGGGCAGAAAACAGAGAGGAGATGACATCACAATATCTGGCTTGGGTTGTCATCGTGATGTCATTTCCTGTACTGGAGTCTACCTGTTAATAGTATCAGAGACTGCTGACCAATACCCAGCACCTGGTTTCTAGAGCATCCTAAATCCACAGTATAACACTGAATGTGTATGGATTTACTCTGGATCGCCCATTCTGTCCCTTGTCTATCTCTCTAATGCCAATAGCCAGCTTCTTTGGTTAATACTTCTTTAAAGTGGGTTTTGAAGGTAGGTATCAAGAACTACATTTTTCTGGTTCTTGATCAAGATCCTTTAATAATTTCAGGTCTCTGGTGCTGTCATGTTATATTTAAAGACATTCTTTAGGACAAAGTTTTTCTACTTCTGTGGAAAAATTCATTGGTATTATGATGTGGATTTTACTGGATCTTTAAATCACTTTAGGAAGTATATGTATGTAACAATATTATTTCTTCCAATTTGTTAACATAGAATATAACCTACCTATTTTTCTGTTTTTAAAATATTTTTGGTAATTTATTTTTCTTCTTTGACAATTTTATACATGTATATGTTATGGCTGATGTAGTCAACTTGACACACCTGGGAAGAGGGCAATCAACTGAGGAATTTCCTCCATTTGATTGGCCTGTGGCCGTATCTGTGAGGCATTTTCCTAATTGCTAATTGGTGTAGAAGGGCCCAGCCCACTGTGCTGGGCAGTGCTAGGCATACATAAGAAAAGTAGCTGAGCAAGCCAGTAAGTAGCATTCCATGGTCTCTGCTTCAGTTCCCACCTCCAGGTTCCTGCCCTGACTTCCCTTGGTGATGGACTGGAATTTGTCAGGTGAAATAAACCCTTTCCTCCTGAAGATGGTGTGCATCTGTATTTTATCCCAGTAACAAAAAGCAAACTAGAACATCTATTATATTTTCTTCATTTTTACACATGCTAACCCTCTCAGTCCCACTGTATACCTGCTTCCGAGGCTGCTTCTGCTTTCTTGCCTTTTTTATTGTGGATGTTTTTTTTTTTTTTTTTTTTTCCTGCTGAGTTGCATTAGGGTGCTTTGCATTTCCCTTTTCACTGTGTTCTGGAGCATTGGCAGCTGTGTCTTACTTTCTAAGACAGGATTCAGTGTGTGTCCCAGGTTGCTTTGAACCTGCTTCAAATTCATGAGTTCTCTTGTCTTGGAATGCTGGATCCTGGGTCCCACTGTGTGTGTGGGGGGGGTCCTCTGCAATTCTCTCTCTTTCTTTTTTGGACTTTAAGACTGGTCTTTTACTCCTTCGTTAACTAATTATAAAATAGGGCTGAGGATATATGTCAGTGACAAAGGTAGATCTGTAAATTAAACACAGCACCACAAAAATAAATTGCATTTAATGAACAATAAGTAAATAATAGAATTATTGAACCTTTTTTTGGGGGGGTCTCTTTTTTGAGAAAGGGTCTCCCTATAGTCATGGCTGGCCTGGAACTCACTATGTAGAACCAAGCTGGCCTTGAACTCACAGAGATCCTCCTGCCTCTGCCTCCCCAGTGCTGGGATTAAAAATGTGTACCACCATGCCCGGCTGAATTATTGAACCTTTTAAAATCCTTTTAAAAGTATTTTTAGTAGCTACTGTGAATGGGAATGCATTCTGACCTTAGCACTTTTTTTCTTGATTGCGAGTATGCATGTTTTAGGCTTTTGACATTGTCTTCTGTGAGGAGTTATTTCATTCATTCTCCTTTTTTTCTTTTCTGGAGACATGTAAGATTTTCTGTAGCATCACTTGGCCTACAAATAAGGACAGTTTCCCCTCCCCTTTCTGCTTTGGCTGTCCTTCTGTTCTTTCCTTTAGCTCCTGTCTATAGCAGAGACTTCAGTACTGTCTTGAAGAGTATGAAATCGTGCATCCTTGTCCTGCTCCAGATCTTAGAAGAAATAATGTCAGGTTTTCCCCATCCACTTAGGGCCGTGGACTATGGTTTGTTGCATATAATTCTTATTTTGTGGAATTACACTCTTGTGTCTCATTTACTTACCCATTTTGCTTTCTTTTTAGAATCACATTTGTGTGAGTGTGATGTGTCTTATGTGTAAGTGTGTATGGTTGTGTATGCGCTGTTCCATACAGGAGATGTCGGAGGACTAGGTTGAGACTGCTCACTGCCATCCATCATATTTTTTCTTGGTGTCTTTGTAGCAGTTGGAAGGCAGGGACCCTGGGGCACCTGAAGGCTTCCAGGAATTCTTTTTCTCTCTGCTTCCCATTTCTCTCTGGAAGTGTTAAGATTGAAGACATTTGGCTTTTTAATGGATTCTGGGGATCTAAACTCAGGCATCAGGCTTGAGCAGCAAGCCATTGTTCTGGCCTGTGTTTGCTTTCTTAATGGCAAGTCACCATTTGCTGTATTTTTTTAGGGTTTTTTTGTGTGTGTGTGTTTTTGTCTTTTTGAGACAAGGTCTCCCTGTAGCCCCAGCTGTCCTGGAACTCACTATGTAGGCCAGGCTGGCCTTGAACTCGCAGAGATCCGCCTGCCTCTGCCTCCCAAGTGCTGGGATTAAAGGCGTGCGCCACCACGCCCGGCTTGTTCTTAACTTTAAAAAATTTTATTGAGAATTTCATACATGTATGTCAGGTTGTTTTGATCAAATCCATACCCACTCCCTCCCCTCCAACTCCTCCCATATCTCCCCATCACCTTTTTCTGATAACTTCATGTACTCTTTTTTTTTTTTTAAATGGGGCTTTTTGCTACTTTAACATTCCTCCCTCTGAAAAGGTAACCCTAAAATCTTTTAGTGATTAGATAAGGGCTCCCAAATACTTTTGACATCTTTGGCCTTTGGAACAAAGTATGTTGCTAAGAGGCCCAAGGACATTTTGGCTACTTTTGGGGGGGGGGTTCTTTTTACCCTAACCACCTAGCCAATTCCTACCTCCTATTCTTATCACACCATCCTCTGAAGAGATTACCCAAATTGCCAATGGGGCATTGGGACGCAGACTGCTCTGGCTTCTTCCATGCTGAACAGGGTCACAGGGTATGGCAACTGGGGTATCCCTTCTGTGGGTCTATTTAGAAGACTCCCAAATTGCATAACTCTTAACTGTAGGGTGAAAAGAAATTCCTTGACTGGTGCCTAGGAGTTGTAAAGGCAAGAGTAGTTAGCATTACAAGTTCTAGACAGGGAACCAGAAAAAGGTCAGAAAAGGGAAAAATTCAAATGTTCATATCAGAGTCCATTGGGATTTCTTGACAAGAGCTTCCAAAAGCATCCCTCTATTGGGTCCCTCCTCATTTTTCTTTTGTCTTCCAAAGATGGACTCGAGAGTGATGGACTCAGGATTTGTTTTCAGGCACTTTGATAGCTGTTAGAGTGGCTAGAATCACAGTCAGTTCTCTCAAAAAGGCTTCTAGATAGGGGGAAAAATAAATTTAGCCATCATTTTAGAACAATAGCTGGTTGTCTCCCTTAGCTACAGGTGGGCACTACATTATTGCACACCAAGATTTGAAGTTTTACATCTGAGCAGAACCTTCTGATTAGAAACAAAATCATCAATGAAAATAATTGTCTAAATAACATTTTATTTTTTTAGTTTTTTAATATGCTCTGGGTATTGGAAAAGCCCCCCACCCATGCCCCCAATGGGGTATTATGTAGCCTTAGCTGCCTTGCTGGACTAGAACTCAGAGACTTATCTGCCAGTGCCTTTTAAATGCTGGGGTCAAAAGCCTGCACCACTGTGCCTGGCCCAGAACCCATCCTTTTACTCAAAGATTTTTTTCCCTCTGTCTGATTAGTCCAGTAAACTTTTTGCTTTTCTTTTTAACCCTCCCCCTTTTAATTTTCAGTAATTCAGCTCTTTTCCTGTAAAATTTGTCTTCCTTTTTAATGAACTCTCTTTGTTCAGTTGGTCCTGATATCTTATGTGGCATCTTCAATTTTTGTTGTGTTTTTCCCTCTCATTGTCTTTTGTTTACTTACATTTTCAGTACATCATTATAATGAGTTAATCATCATCATACAGGCTAATGCCACTCTGAGGGTCATATTTCAGTCAGGAAAGAATGTGAATGTAATCACTTTTTAGCAAAAGCTGGTATTGAGGGATATTGGATATTTCAGCATGTCAGAGGTTAGTGACCTGAGTTTGAGTTCGATCCCTGGACTCTACATAAAGGAGAAAGGAAAGAGCCAACTCTCCATAGTTGTCCTCTGACCTCTGTGCCTGCCACGGTACACATTACCAGCAACACATGAAAATGCATCATATGTGCACACACACACACACACACACACACACGCACACACAAACACACATTTTTGTAAGTTTTTAAATTATCCATCATAGCCTTACTTCTCAAATGGAGCCGTCATGCTTCATCATGTAATAGACTGACTATTTGGGACCTTTTATAACATTTTATATTAATTTCCTTTTACAGGGCACTGTGTCATCAAACCTGAGTTGATCTTCAGGCTGGAGCATGGATTTGAGCCATGGAGCATAGACGAAGCCTCACTCTGGAGCCTGCCAGGTCAGCGAATGCATGCTGGGGAAGGGAGGTCAGCAAGAGGCTTGTTCATAAGATACTATTCATGCAGAAATGTCTTCAACATTAATCCAAACCTTGTCCCAAAGATAGGTGGTTAATTCTGTCTGGCTTTAGTTTATGCATTTTCCAAAAGGAGCCCTCTGTGTCAACCTGTGTCCTTGTTTTTGTTGTTGAGGTATGTTTCTTTACACTTACTGAAACATTTGATCCTTTTATGGATCATCTCAGACATTTCATTAACTTTTTCTAAAATACATGTTCTTATGTGGACCTGGCTACCTCCAAATTTGCTATGTAGCTGAGGCTAGACTGAAACACGTGATTCCCCCATTGCTGGCATACATCACCACACCCAACCTTATTGGTAGATTTGTTGATTAGATATTTTACCTAAATTCTCAATTTTAAACCCAGTAAGTCTATTCAGTGCTGCATGTGTGCATGGGTATAGCTCCATCACTAGAGAATGGCAGCCTACCCATGAGTGGGTAACTGAGGAAACTGACTCTCTCTCAGAGTAGCTATGAATTGCCAGCATCTCCTCAGCAATGGGTATAGACTTTGTGAGCCCCTCCCCCATCCATGCTGGGGGTGCCCTGATCCTCAGCAACAGCCCTGTTATGTCTAGAAAACACTCTTACTATAGTCATCCATTACCTCTGGCTCTTACAGTCTTCTCCCCTCTTACATGATGCCACCTGAGCCCTTGAAGGAGGGTGTGTGGTAGAGATTTCTCATTTATAGCTGATATTCCACAGTCACTTATTCCTACTCTCTGGCCTGTTGTGTATGTATTAATCGCTAAACTGCAAAGAGAAACCTCTGATGAGGGTTGAGAGCTGCACTAATCTATGAGCATAAAGATAACTACTTAGGGTCCTGTTTAATACTCTTTGTAATAGAAAAATAAAAGTTAAGTTCTTCCCTAGGGCTAATGCCCTACACAGCCCTGGGTTTTTGACCCAGTTAACAATACTAGGCATGAGTTCCCTCTTGTGGACTGGTCCTTAATTCATGCTTCAGTAACATGCATTGCACTTTCCAGCACTGGGAAAGCTAGCCAGGAGGCATGAAGCTTCCTGGTCAGCACTCGCTTTATTTCTCCATGCCCTGTGACTGAAGCATGTGGTATCTTCAGCAATAGGATCTTACCATCAAGTTCTGGAGGGTCAGTAAGAGCAACAGCAGTAGCCTGTAATGTTTGGGGGGCTGTATGGGGCTGTATTGACAAACACCTTGAAAACAGGACATCCCTGGCACTGGGCTTGTTTGATAGCCTGTGGTATCTGGGAGAGGCATTTTCCCCCTGGATAGTGTAACTCCATTTAAACTTTTTTTTTTTTTTTTTTTTTTTTTTTTTTTTACAGGGTCTCCCTGTAGCCCCAGCTGTCCTGGAACTCATTATGTAGACCAG